TAAGAAAGAGATTATACTTTTCTGCTGAAGATTTAATTAGTAATACAAAAGTAAACAGTTGATAAAAGTCACAAATTAACTGATTGAAACGACATATTTGGATATGCTTTACTCGACTAAAACAATAAAAAAGCTCGCCATTTTGGCAGTTAACAATATTAAATTATCTTGTCTCTAAACATTCTGTTTTGGAAATATCTGTGATAGTCTTGACTTTTCAGGTGATAAACGATGACATAAAAATCTTTGACAACTATTTAATAGAAGTCAACAGTTGAAACAGCTCAACAATCTATAATATCAACAGCAAAAGAGAATATTTAATTTCTTTCTATTATCGAAGAGTCCTCATCAATTCCTTTAGATTAGTAAATATTTTTAAACATTGGGCAGTAGAAAACTTCGCTGTATAATGAATTCTCCTTCTTATCAGGAACCTAGCAAAACACAGGAAAGATGAACGAGCGAATACTGGTGTACCGGTTAAAACCTCTTTAAAAAGATGCTGGTCGTTATTCTGCTGGTAGCTTTTGAAAGTCCTCTTTCGTTTTCCACACCAAAACGTTAAATAGAAGAATCTAATATACATTAAAATGGTACTTATAAATACTAGTAATTTTGTAAGAATAAAGAAGAGTTAAGTAACACTTCGGTATTTGCATAGTGTTTTCATTATTCAAAGTTTGGAATAACGCTTGTAAAATTACAGTTGTAAAGAAGTTTTGTTGGCGCAGATATTGCTTCAATCCCGACAGTTTGAACAGTGACAGAATTTTTCTCGTTGACATAGTGGTTCTAAAGATTGAAAAAATACATAGTTTTATTTCGTAACAGAAAAAGTGAAGTTTTATTTTTTTTTTTAGACAATTTTTTAGTTATTTCAAAAAACCATATCAGGTAGATTTTTGAATAAATTTAGAAATAAATAAAAATTAATTACCAGTACACTACTTATTCAAATTTACATCTCCTATCTGTAATTTTGAAAGAATTTCGCAGCGCCTCAGTTGCAATGCAAATTTTCGTTTCTTTCTGATACATTCGTTCGTATTGAGGCTTTTTGATGAAATACCATAAACTTGAGAAAGAAGCCTTAACGCAGCTAATTTAACAAAACTCTTGCTACTACATTTTTTAAATTACAATTTTTCAAAAGTGCTAATTTATCTGTATCTATTATCTGAATTATTTGAGTAATTTGACATTTATTTCAAAGCTTAAATATACAACAGTAAATATAATCTGAGTTTAGTTACAGTCTCACACCATTTCTTCAAGGAATTGTTCTCGCGTTTTTTTTTTTTTTTTTTTTTTTTTTTTTTTTTTT